CTGGGGCCAGGGGGATGTGGGCTGGGGGACCCCAAGGCTGACTCTCACAGTTCCATGGCCACCCCACAGCTACCTGGGGAGGAAGCAGGTGAACGATGAAGATGAGGCCCCTGTGAAAGGCGTGCGGAACCTGGTGGTGGCCGGGTACTCGTACTGGACCCTGGCTTACGCCATCTCCCACCATGGGGCACGGAAGCTGCTGGCCACCAAACCCCTCTCCAAAATGCTGCCCGTGGACGAGTATCTGCCCATCATGTATGACAAGCACCCCAAGTAAGGAGCAGGTTGTGCAGGAGGGTGCTGGCCTGGCCATGCCAGTGTGGGACAATGTGTTTCTTCTCCGTCGTCACCACCTCACCCAGTTCCCCCCTTTGCAGGCGTTGCTCATGCTGGAGGAAAACATCTGTAGCATGAGCTCATTCTCAGTCAGCCTCTGCCTGGCCACTGGCCGCTGGAAAATGGCCCTCTGCCAGGATGGGGTGTGGGAACAGCATTGGAGCTGGGGCTTGATGTGGGCCCTGCACAGGGTCTTGGCCCCATGGCAAGGGGCACAGAGCAGCCCCCTATACCCTGGTGCTGGGGGCTGTGTGGTCCCCTGCCCCTGGCTGGTGGTCTCAGCCCCAGTTTGGAGCACTCTGATGCTCCGCTCTGAGGTGGGGGTCAGTGGTAAGGCTGTGTCTGGGGAGGGGGAGGCAATTTAGGGTGTGAGTGAGCACCAGTGGGTGGGTGTTGTGGGAGAGAAGGGATTGGGAAACACAGCGAGCAAGATGGAGAAACACAGGGATCAGGCATGTAAAAGGCAGGCTGGAGGTGGATGAAGGGACAGATTAGAGCTCTGGATGTGCACCAGCAGCATCTGGAAGCCCCATGCTCGCAGGCATAACAGCACCAGACAGCCCTGTCCCAGGGCCAGCTGGATGCTGTGCCAGAGACCCACTCTGTGCCAAGAGCTGGCCCCAGCTGGCGGGAGCGACAGGTCCTGTCCTCTCTGTAATCCCTGCACAGTCCCTGCCCCGCATTCCCCAGCTCCATGCCTGGTACCCCACATCCCTCCCTATCCCCTGCCCTGCATGGGGCCTTCCCTGGGTGGTTTTCCCAGTGCATTTTCTCCTCTGTGCCATGCTCTGTAAGCCAGTTTCTCCTCTCGGCTCTGCTCCACTTTCCCCAGTGAGGATTACAAGCGGCACTTCTCCCCACGGGACTTGCTGGTGTTTTCGGCTCACCCCCTCCTGGTTTATCCCACTCACTATGCTGGGGACAGCAACTGGCTGAGTGACACCGAGACTTCCACCATCTGGGATGACGATGCCAAGAAGACTGACTGGGTCGGCTCACAGAAGACACTGAGGGACTCACGGGGCAGTGCTGGCCACCTCCGCTCCACGGCCCGTGACGAGCTCTGATGGTGAGCAAGGCCGTGAGGCCTGGGCACAGGGGACAGAGCAGGTGGGGAGTGCCTCCCTGCAAGTGCCATGTTCAGATGTGTGCCACATGCCTAACTTGTTTTTGTCATGGGGCAGCAGCTCTCCCCATCAGACTCAAAGCATTGGGAAACAGACCAGACTGTCTTGTCCAGATGGGGAAAGGGGTGGGGACACAGATGTCCCATGTGGGGCTGCACTGGGCTGGAGGGGATATAGGGACAGGTCCATCCGTCTCCCTGAGTCCATGCTGCTCCCCAGCTCCTCAGGTGAGGAAGGGAGAATGCTCCTTTGCCTGCTGCAAAAGTCTCCTCAGTGCGGAAAGAGCTGGGGCATCTCCCAGGGGAGCGTTTCACCCCAGCACTGCTTGCTCCCTGCAGAAGTGGGTCTCCCTGGGGCTGTGGCCATGCAAGTGACCCACGCTGGCTCAGCCCCAGGGCAGCACAGACACAGTTACTGCTGGGTCAGACTTTCCCTGCCCGAAGTTCCTTGTCCTGGCAGCAGAACTGCCCCGGGAGCTGCCAGACCGAGGGAGGCTGGAAAAGGGCCCTCCCACTGCCTCGGCTGCAGGCGTGAACACACTGGGGCTGCTCCTGCCGTGACCACTGATGTCTGTGTCCATGTCTCCTAGGGATGAGGGACTGTGATCCAGCTGGGAGCCCCGTGGGCAAGGACCTTATACTGCCTGCTCCCATTCAAGAGATGCAGCTGCCCTGGACAGAGCCCCACAGGGTTCTTTGAATCTGCATGTGATGAATCCACCCAAGGCAGGATTTGGCTCAGGAAAGCCTTTCCCTACCAAGTGGAGAGACCAGAGGAGCGCTGTGCTCCATCTCTGCTGAGGACACATCTCCGGGACAGTCTCAATCAATGCCAACTCTGCCGTCTCCCACCAGCCTGGACTTTGGGGAGTGGACTTTGGGCTGGCACATGTGGTGGCCTCCTGCCACTGACTGGGCTTGTCCCTCATGCCATGCCTGGGTGGAAGCCCAGGGAGGATTAAAGCAGGCTGTTTGAGCTGATGTGCTGGGTGCTGGCATTGCCCCAAGTTCCCAGGGCATTACCCCACTGGGGTCACCTCGGAGCTGCAGGGGAGAGGGTCTGGAAGTTCCCCCAGCTGGGAACTTTGGGAATGGAACCTGTAAGGGGGAAAGAGGGAATGAGAGAGGTGGTGGGGAGGAAGACAAGCTCACCCTTGGGGTCTGGGTGGGAAAGGTGGGTGGCATCTTCATGGAACTCAGCTCTCCCTGGGAGCGGAGGTGATGGAGCAGCGGGTGGAGGCCTTGGTAGCAGCCACCCACAGTGAGATGTCTTGAGACTACCAAGTAAATTGGGAAAGCATCATTTGGGGCAGGCTGAACAGCTACAGCAGGGACCTCCTGGAGGAAAACAACCAGGTCCGTATCACACAGGACCAGAAGATCTAAGTGGATCTCCTGGAGAACAGGGAGGAGATGGCCAAGTGCCTATTCTGCAAGTGCAGGGTGCCAGCCAGTACAGACATGGTGAAGAAGGGATGACAGGTTGGGCACTTTCACTTCCCAGCTTTTCCCCTGGTCCAGGCAGCATCAGTGCTCCAGGAGGAGCTCAGGAGCTGAGGATAGAGCAGAAGAATGTCTGGTGCCAGCTGGAGCAGAGGATGGAGGCAGCAGAAACACTGGGGTATACATCAGCCAGCAAGTGTCCCAGTGCTTGTTCCAGTGCCTGCTGGGATGCAGGAGAGGAGCTGCCTTTGCTGGGTGTCTCAGTATTCCTGGGATACAGCACTGGGCAGGACATGCTGGCACAGCCCAGGACTCCGGGACACAGCAGTGATGAGGACACACCGCCTCAGTCTGCCCTCTCCACCTTGAGAACTGTAACGGGTCTGCGGGAAGCCAGAACTCCTGCAGCTGTTGGAAACGCCACAGTTTCAGCCAAAACCACTGAACTCGAAAACACAGCGAGGCCAGCCCTGAAACTTGCTGCAGCCCAGCGGGAGCAGCACGCTATGAGATTCCAGGCTCTTCGTGCTTGCCAGTTTCTCAACGAAGCTGAAGTGCCTTTGGACTCTACAGAAGTAGCTCCTATTGCTCCCCATTTCTCACTAGAAGCCTCCCTCCAGATTGGGCTGGTCGAACAGGGATGGGAACATGGATCTGAGCTGCAATGCCAAGGACAACCCGAGCAGGCGGCGCATGGAAGAGAGGCAGGAGCACGGCAGAGGCAGGGTGAGGGTTTATTTAATTTCTGTGCCAACCTGAGGCATGGAGCCTCTGCAGGGATTCAAGTGGGACACAAGCCACCTGGATTGGTGTGGGGATGGAAGGAGGCTGCCCCAGCTCCCAGCCAGGCTGCCCAGCTGGGCCAGCTCTGCTCCGCACCACGGGCACTCCGGAGTGCCTGCAGCACCCTGTCCATCAGCCACAAGGGTCCCTGGGGCTTTGTGTCAGCCCCTGTCCCCTGGCTCTGTGGACGCTCGGCTCTGGATGAGCTCCAGCAGGCAGGTCACTGCCTGGGCCAGGATCTGCTCCAGCTTCTCCCGCTCCCCAGCAGTGAACGGAGACAGGACATAGCTGGGCACTGTCACGTCACCCTCTGGCCGCCCGATGCCGATCCTGAGCCGGGTCATCTCCTGGGGAGGAAGGAAGAGAGCTGTGGGAGTTCCCCCTCAAGTGTTCAGACAGAGCTGGGCAAGCTGACAGCGCTGAGAGTGGGGCTGGGCAGCAAGAGAGCAGCTCCTCATGTTTTCCAGGTGGTTTTGAGTGCTTGCTCCAAGAAACATAATTTTGGAAGAGGCTTTTGCTGGGCTGTGCTGATTTCCCAGGCTGCTGCCAAGCCTGGCAGAGCCACTCAAGCTAATTGTTTCCATGTCCTCCATGGCGGCCAAACAGACAACAGCCCTCCAAAAAGAAGGGGAAGGAGGAAAGGGGAGAAAGAAAAATTGGAGTGGGGGAACAAGCCATGCATTGAGAGTGGCACAGGATTGATCCCCTTCCACAGACACCCACTCACATTGGAATGCAAAGCACTGATGCAGGATTGGACCCCGTTGTGTCCCCTTGGGAGAGAGAGAGAAAAAACCCACACTTAGTTTGTAAGAGACGCTCCCCCACAGAGCCCTGGGGTCTCCTGCTGCAGGAATGTGGGAGTGTGGTCCCAGCCAAGGGCTGCAGTCCCCATGTCCTGGTTCTGCAGGAACATCCAGCCCTGGGGGCTCAGAGCAGTTGGCTGGGGGTTTGAGGGAAGCAGGGCTGTGACAGCACGTTCTGTGTGTGTCGGCTCTTGCTGCAGCTGGTGCATGTATGACTGAGCATTGGGGCCCAGCACCACACCTGCCCCATCCCGCAGTGGAAGCTTTCCTGGGTTAAATAGGAAAGCTCGGTCTGGCACTGGGCAGGCAGAGTGCTTTAAAAAGCCCATGTAGTGCTGCCAGTGGGCTGAATCCAGCCCACAGCCGCTTCCAGGAGGCTCCCTGCCCTCCCTGCCAGGGCAGGAACTGGGAGGCTGCCCAAACAGTCAGCTGTTGCCTCTGCAATAGATCTAGCCCAGGACAAGAGCTGAAACATTGCAAGGCTGGTGGGACGGGGCCAAGAACAGCCCATGAACCTGTATGGGCATGTTAAAGCCTCAAACCAGCTCACATAATCACAGAGCTGGGGCTACCCCATACCTTGCGCTGCCTCCCAGCTTGATTGCCACCTTGCCCAGGGCCTTGTCCAGGTCATCATGAACCAGGTAAATGTCTTTAGGGCCAAGGCTGTAGATCTCAGCTTTGGGAACAGAAATACAACCTAAGAAATGAGGGGAGACAGACTCACCGGGCCCTGACTCGGCAGAGTGGGGCTGTAGTGAGCTGTGGAGGGCAGGGAGACAGCAGGGCTGTCACAGAGGGCTGGTGGCACTAGAGGCTTTGGGGCTGACCCAGTTGCTCACCAGCACTGGCGACGCTGAGCCCATTGAGGTTCATGAACCTCCGTGGCTTGAGCAGCACCAGCTCCAGGCCGTGGGCTGTGGCCAGGGCCACATCAGCACAGCACCGCCTGTCCACTCGCCAGCCCTCGGCCACTGCCAGCTGCCGGGCCAGCTGGTCCAGCACCTCCATGCCCACGCTGTGCCGCGTGCCCCGCAGCCCGTAGTTGCCCAGGCCGGCCACCTGCGTGACAGGTGACCACAGGGCTCTGACGGGCCACCATGGGCCTGTCCCCCCCAGCATGACTCACACCTGCTCCCTCCATGCTCCCCACGGCTGGCTGGGCCCTCACAGCCTCAACCCCACAGCATTCCCTTCAGTCCCTCTTCCCTCGGTGCCCCCCTCACAGCCCTGATCGTGCCGGTGCTCGGCCATCACCTGCGGCCCCCCGGCACTGCCCTCACAGCCCCGCTGCCTCTGCTCGGCTCGCAGTCCCGATCCGCCCTGTTCTCCTCACAGTCCCGATCCACCCTGTTCTCACAGCCCAACTCCCTCTGCTCGGCTCACAGCCCCGCTGCCTCTGCTGGGCTCACAGTCCCGATCCACCCTGTTCTCCTCACAGCCCCGCTGCCTCTGCTCGGCTCACAGTCCTGATCCACCCCGTTCTCCTCACGGCCCCGCTCCCTCTGCTCGGCTCACAGTCCCGATCCCCCCTGTTCTCCTCACAGCCCCGTTCCCCTCACGGCCCCGCTCTCCCCTCACGGCCCCGCTCTCCCCTCACGGCCCCGCTCTCCCCTCACGGCCCCGCTCTCCCCCCACGGCCCCGCTCCCCTCACGGCCCCGCTCTCCCCTCACGGCCCCGCTCCCCTCACGGCCCCGCTCTCCTCACGGCCCAGTTCCCCTCACAGCCCCCGCTCTCCCCTCACGGCCGCGCTCCCCTCACAGCCCCGTTCCCCTCACAGCCCCCGCTCTCCCCTCACGACCCCGCTCTCCCCTCACGGCCCCGCTCCCCTCACGGCCCCGCTCTCCCCTCACAGCCCCGTTCCCCTCACGGCCCCGCTCCCCCGCCCTCACCATGGCGCGCGGCCCCGCCCGCCCCACGAGCGCTCGCGCGGGCCCCGCCACCTCCGCCGCCAGCATGGCCCGCCTTGCCCGCGTGACGTCACGTCACGTCGCCTCGCCCCCCCCGCCGCCATCTTGGTCACTGGCAGTGCCGCCATCTTTCTAGCGGGCGGCGGGGCGGTGCCGGGGGCGGTGTCGCGGTGGTGTCACCCAGGGCTGGACCTCTGTTTTATGTCTTTGTGCCCGTTTCGTCTCCACTCACGTGCGCCTTGGCATCGCTCCTCACCTTCCCCCAAGCCATCCTTCAGCCCTGGTCCTCACCCTGCCAGCAGGGCACAGCTTTCTGCCACGGCACTGTGAGAGTTTCCCGGCCCAACAGCACATCACTGTGCTGGAAATTGGAAATTGGTCGTCTTCCAAGTCCTTCCACAATATCTACAGTCAGGAACCCATGTAAAAACCTCAACTGTATGATTCTTAAAAGATTTATTTTAAAATTAGAAATTCATATTTTTGCAAGAGGCAGAATTTTTGCCTGTCTTTGGGCCAGCTCTTGGGCAGACTTTGGGTGGTGTCAATTCCTCAAAGCTCAAGGCCTGGAGCTGGAATGGTCCCAAGCACTGGCAGATCATTTCCATACAGGGAACAAGCAGAGCTTTGGAAGCTTTGCAAAGTGTCCCTACACCCATCCCTTGAGCAGGTTGTTCCTAGCGAGCTAATGACTCTGGTCCCCCTGACCTCTTATTCCATAACAGCGTAGAGGATATTAAAACTGGGGCAAAAGCCAGGCTGTGCATCCCATGCTTGGCAGTCTGGAGCACTAATCTTCTCTTAACTTGTCCCCAGGTCCCTCATTGTGACACTCCTCAGAAGCTGAACGGGTGCTGGCCCAGCCAAAGCCTGCAAGGTCTGACCAGCACAAGGATGTACAAGAAGCTCCATAGCTCACAGGACCAACTCTGCTGTAGAAACCATCACGGAATAAAAGGAATTTTCAAAACCGTTAGCAGCACTGTGGGCTCCCCTGGAGGTAGGATGAGATTCTTCACAGCTGGTAAAACCAAGAGGTCTTTTGTTGTTGTTTTCCTGGTCTGCTACAGGGAAATCCTTTGGCCCTTAGGGGAAAGACGGATGCAGGGGTGGTAGGGGAAGCCTGGCTCATGGCAGATCAGATGCTGCCCTCTCCCACATTACCCCCCTCACTTGGTGTTGAAGCTACCAAGTACCTATTCACAGTGAAAGGAAACTGGAATGTGGGTGGCTCTAAAACTTCCTTGAAAAGAAAACTTGGTTGCCATGTTGAGGTGTTCACAGGAGTCAGCACCAGTACTCACATTGTGCCAAGGAGCGGAGGCATAGCTTTGATTAAAAAGCTTTTTAAAAAACTGTAAGGAAGAAATAGTCTTCTGTAGGCTCAGAATCTTAAGGTATTGGGTATCAACAGCTGCCAGAAATGGGGAGGGCTGCAGGTGGGTGCTGTTGACAGGGTGAGAACCTCCCTGACACTGCAGACCCTCTCAGCATCTTCCCCATGTCATCACACATATGTCAGGTGGTGGATCCACCTGTACCTGGCCAAGACTGCATCAGTAAAGTGCTTTAAATTACATAATTTGCACCTGATCCTGCAGCTGCATCCTGCAGTGGACTCCTTGGAGCTGGAGAGTTCAGCAGGAGAGCACTTGTGCTGTGGAGAGTGCATTCCCACCATTCCCACTGCACATCCCACCAGCCCTGGTGCCTTCTAGCTCCATATGGATCTGAGAGGGGCTCTTCCCAGTGACTAGAAGAAAAAACTGATGCGAGAGGCCACTGTTTTGCAGCCTGTTGATGAGAATAATTTCTCCTCTTCTGGGAAGTAGGGGATGCTGTCAGCCACGTCCTGGACGACACTCGGGCGTACCTCGAGGCCTTGCTGGATGAGCTCGTTGACAACACACTGCTTTACGTGGTGGTGCTTCAGTGGGAGGAAAGGCACAACAAAATCAATGAGCTGTTCATTAATGATCCCAGATTTCCAGAAGCCACCTGCACAAGGAAAGGAAGAGAAGGTTTTACCTCCAGAGAGTCTCTGCAGTCCCTGCAATTCAAAGAGAGGCTTTGTGTGAAGCCAGAATACTCTGCTGAAGAGTTTTTGTACAAGGAGAGGGCTGAACCCATCAGTTGTCACCTCCCCCCACCAAACAGACTTATTCTCTAGGAATGGAGGGATTTAGCTTGTCTAGTCAGAATTTAAGCTCTGCTTAAATTTAAGGCAAGGAGATGCAGACAGGCAGTGGGGATCAATATAGCTCCATGCTGTCTGCCAGCCCCCAGCTGCAAATACACCTTGTCTCCCAAGAACTTTGCTAAATATGGCAACAGGTCTGCTGGCTCAGAAGGAAGGAAACCTCAAGGGGATTGCAGTTCCAATTCCTCAAAACCCCCTTGGTCCCTTTCTGGTTGCCTGGGAGGTGGCAGGTGGTGTGGGTGGCTTCCTAGAACAGGCCTGGCAGCCTGTGCTGGGCTCTGGGGCTACAGGAGGAGCTCAGCTCCATGGACTCACTCTCAGGGTTTTCAAACACGGCCTTGGAGATGGCTGGCTCCAGGTCCTGCAAGCTGATCTCCTCCCGGTCCTTGCGGGCACGCCACAGAGCCAATGTCACGTTGTTGATCTGCTCCCCTCCTGCATTGCTGCACAAGAATGAGAGGCTTATCCACTGTGTAGCCAGGAAAATGGTGTCTCAGGTGGCACCTGACACCCACCAGCCTGCAGAGTGCAAGCCAGCAGCTCCCAGCTGCCTGGCCCAAAATAACTCCTGTAGAGGCAGCCAAATAACATGCAGAGGAGGCTTTTTCACACTCTCCAGATCTGTCTGTTCACAGTGAGATAGCATTTCTTGGCATTTGTAGAGGCTCAAGGCTTGGAGAAGGAAAGGCAAAACAAGTGTATGCCCTGAAGCAGGTGTGACCTCTGCCCAAATGAGCAGCAGTGAGCTGGAAGGCCCCATGGAGGGGCCTCTCTCACCTGATGAAGATGAAGATGGCTTTGCGGTAGTTGGTCCCGTACACAACCCATGAGGGGCCCAGGAACGGGATGATCACATCAATCAGGCCTGGGTGCATCTTGTCCATCTCATCAAAGAGAAATGCTGACCGCCCACAGTTTGTCAAGTTCCCTTGGATCCAGCGCTTCAGGCTTTCCTAGGAAAATCACCCACCAAGGGTAAGGCAGGGAGATGGCAAGGAAGGCTCAAGCATCCCAGAGGCAGGCTGAGGCAGGAGCTCAAGCACAGCCAAAGGTGCTGAGAGCAAATTCCTGCACAACACCACACACTTGGAGATGAAAGACCCAGTGCTGGGGAGGCCCCTTTACTCTGGGTTTCACACAGTGGCTATTTACCACCTTTTTTAGCCCATTGTAGGTAGTTATATACAGATTTAAAGGAGGAGGCAGCACACTAAAGCTGGGAGATTCAGACTCCTACAGCTCCCCACGTTCTTCTCATTCCTTGTTGTATCTACACAATTCCCAGCTTTTTGCTGGCTCCTGTTCTGATGCAGAAACATGTGCCTGCACTGACCCAGAACAGCTCTTTATCATGGCTGAAGGTACGTCCCAGCCCACACAAAACCACTCACATTGCCTGGGGGCTTGTGAAACTCCTAACTGAAGCACTTTAGCCAGGAAGGGATTTACTTTTCCAAAAGCATTTCCTCTGAGGACACAATACAACAAATAACTTCTCCAAACACCCAGAAACTAAAGGTCCAGGTGTGCTGAATTCCCACTCTGCTGAAAATCTGGCATTTTGATTTCTCTCTTTTCTCAGCTCTAAGAGACAGAATGGCACCATGGAGAGTCTGGAGCTGCTGTTAGGGAGCTGTGTGTTCTGTGAGGAGGGGATTACAAGTCTAGTGATATGCAGGTTTTTACAGCCATCAGGCTGTTTGGAAAGCAATGGGAAAATTTTAGTGCCTTTCATCTAAGCCAAGCACTTCTGTTTGTGCGTTCAAAGAGCTGTGTAAATATTTAAGAATGAGAACACGATCAGGGCAAGGACTGCTGTGGAGAGGATGAAAGTAATAACTGAGTATATTGCAGTTACTAGTGCATCCTTCAGCCAGTGTATGGAGCCACTCACCCAGCTGTTTTTGTCTGAGAGGGTAAAACAAAGAGCTTTTATTCCTACTGCACTTCGGGAAACAGCTTGAATGCGTATGTACTGAGGATCAACCCAGACATAGCCAAAACCCCCCAGTGAAGTGGCACTGCTGAGCAGTGTCCCTTACCTTGTACTGCTCTATCTGCTCAGCGTGGGGGAAATGCACTATGGGGGAGAAGTGGTGAACATAGGGGCTCTGGAGCCCCCTCTGGAAGAGGTAGCGGATGAGCATGGAGCTCACGTAGGTTTTCCCTGTTCCTGTCGAGCCGTGGAAGGACATCACGAGGGGTTTGACCGGATTCGGGTTCTCCAGGAACTCCCTCACCCCCTTCATCACCTGCTGCCTCACCAGGGGCTGCCCCACCACATTCGTGGCCAAGTCAAACTCCAGACCTGAAATGAGGCGAAACCAGCACTTGGAGAACGCGGGTTGTCATCGCTCCTCCCGTCCCCGGGGGCTGCCCCGCTGGGCCCTGGCATGCCCGGCTGCACGGACGGCCCGGGCAGGCTGTCCTGGAGCCGCGCTGCTCCCGGGTCCCCCCGCCTGCTGCCCCCCGGCTTCCCCAGCCCCCGCGGCTTCCCCTGCCCCAGAGCCCCTTCCCGGCCGGCCGCTCCCGCTGACCGCGCAAGTCGGGCCCGAAGCCGCACTCGCAGTCCGCCGAGAAGCCGCAGCGCAGCGCCCACAGGTCCCAGGCGGCGGCGGGGCGGGCGGCGGCCGCCAGCAGCACCAGCAGCACCGGGGCCGGGGCCGCTCCCGGGGCCATGGCGGCCGCGGCTCCGCACCGCCGCACTACAACTCCCAGCGTGCCCCGCGCGGAGGCGGGGCCAGGAGCGCGAGGATACGGAAAGAGGCGTGTCCGTGCATAAAGGGGCGGGGCCTGGTCCCTATCGCCCCGCCTCCCTGGGCCGGGGGCCTGTGCCCCCCTGTCCCCCCTGTCCCCTTGGGGACCCGCGACCCTCTCGCACAGAAGAACCTTCTGAAATTCAACAAGGGCCAATGTGGGGTCCTGCGCCTTGGGGAGGAACAGCCCCGAACACCCCTGCTGGTTGGGGCCTAACATGCAAAGCAGCTCTGCCTCTGCAAGGACTGGGGATCCTGGTGGACAACGAGATGTCTGTGAGCCAGCGGTGTGCCCTGAGGGCCAACAAAGCCAGTGGGATCCTGGGGTGGATTAGGAAGAGTATTGCCAGCTGGTCAGGGAGGGGATCCTGCATCTCTGCTTTTAGAAGATGGACCAGACTGCTCAGTGGTGCTGCAGACAAGAGGCAATGGGTATAAACTGATGCCCAGGAAGTTCCACCTGAACACAAGTAAAAACTTGATAACTGTGAGTGACAATGCACTGGAACAGATTGTCCAGAGAGGATGTGGAGTCTACAGGGAGGTGGGACCAGGCGACCCACTGTGGTCCCTTCCAATCTGAACCATTCTGTGATTCTGTGACACCACAGAGCCCTCCTCGGAAGGGCTGTCACTGGGCCACCATGGGGTCTGGAGGCAGGTTCAGCATGGTGATTCCCCCATCAGCCCTTCCCATGCTCTGCTCCCCCAGGGGGGCTCCCTTAAAGCACACCCACAGGACGGGGTCCCCTTGAGGAACGGGATAGTTTATTGTATGTAAGAACCAAACCCATGAGATATGTACATGTATTTACAAGACAAAATGAATAAGCCTAATTATTTACAATAAGGACTGTCCTCCACAAGTCTGTACATCAAGAAGTAATCGTGGAAATATATTTACACACGGGATCCAGCAGCTGTGGGCAAGATGGAGATGGAAAAAAACAAAACCAAAGGGTGAGGTGAGGGGCACCATGTAGACCTCAGCAAGGCTGGGTGTGGAGGCCAGTGCTGGCT